AACAGGTCTAAAATCAGGACTAAACCAGAACTAAACCAGGTCTAAAACCAGGACTAAACCGGGTCTAAAACAGGTCTAAAACCAGGACTAAAACAGGTCTAAAACCAGGACTAAACCAGAACTAAACCAGGTCTAAAACCAGGTCTAAACCAGGTCTAAAACAGGTCTAAAACCAGGACTAAACCGGGTCTAAAACAGGTCTAAAACAGGTCTAAAACCAGGACTAAAACAGGTCTAAAACCAGGACTAAACCAGGTCTAAAACAGGTCTAAAACAGGTCTAAAACCAGGACTAAACCAGGTCTAAAACAGGTCTAAAACCAGGACTAAAACAGGTCTAAAACCAGGACGAAACCGGGTCTAAAACAGGTCTAAAACCAGGACTAAACCAGGTCTAAAACCAGGACTAAAACAGGACTAAAACTAATAAAAATAAACTAATAAAAAATGTATAAATGTAGAATTAAACTTGCACAATTGAAAACTGTTACAGCACAAAACAGCACAAACCAAATACAAATGTTTGGTGTAATTTTCTGCTGTTTTGAGGCTGTTTCACATTTTGAGAGGCTGGATGACGCCAACAGCCCAAAATTAAACTGTTCATATCTTAAGAACTAAACTTTTTGCAGCACAAAACAGCACAAACGATTGACTCCGTTTTGTGTCGTTTTCGAGCATGTTGAAGTTTCCTGGAGGCTGGCTGACCCCAGTTTGACCTGGAAAAGAATCATTAATATTTCCAAAACTAAAACAGCACAAACCAAACTTTTTGCAGCACAAACGAAGCACAAACTATTCACATGAGTTTTTGTGTAGGTGTGCGTTTGGTACGAGGCCAACTTCACGGAGGCAGGTGTGTGTGGTTTAAAAACACAGTGGAGCTCTTCCTGTATCACCACATGACATCACAAGTTGGAACAGAGTGTTTTCTGTTTGAGAGACGAACTCTGTCTAAATAAATGTGCAGGTTTTGTGAATGAAACAAAACACAACTCCAGCTCTGTTTGTGATGAGGACAGTGTTGGGAAGGTGACTTTTAAAATGTAATCCCCTACAGATTACAGATTACATACTCCAAAATGTAGTTTGTAACAGAATCCATTCAATTACTTAAAGTGAGTAATGTAATCTGAATACTTTGGATTACTTGATTTGCTGTAGAGAAGCAAAGACCAGGATATCGTAACAAAAGATATTTTGTCTGTTAAAAGAAAATAAAAAGTCCAGACTTTACTGAACCAAATTAAAAATATTATTGATAGAAGAAGAGGAGACACGTCCACACAGCAGGATTTAGTCCTGTTAAATCCTGTTTGAGACATAGTTTAGACCTGGTTTAGACCTGGTTTAGTCCTGGTTTAGACCTGGTTTAGACCTGGTTTAGACCTGGTTTAGACCTAGTTTAGTCCTGGTTTAGACCTGGTTTAGTCCTGGTTTTAGTCCTGGTTTTAGTCCTGGCTTGTACCTGGTTTAGACCTGGTTTTAGTCCTGGTTTTAGTCCTGGTTTAGACCTGGTTTTAGTCCTGGCTTGTACCTGGTTTAGACCTGGTTTAGACCTGGTTTAGTCCTGGTTTAGACCTGGTTTAGATCTGGTTTAGTCCTGGTTTAGACCTAGTTTAGACCTGGTTTAGACCTGGTTTAGTCCTGGTTTTAGTCCTGGTTTAGTCCTGGTTTTAGTCCTGGTTTGTACCTGGTTTAGACCTGGTTTAGTCCTGGTTTTAGTCCTGGTTTTAGTCCTGGTTTTAGTCCTGGTTTTAGTCCTGGATTGTACCTGGTTTGTACCTGGTTTGTACCTGGTTTAGACCTGGTTTAGACCTGTTTTAGTCCTAGTTTAGACCTGGTTTTAGAAGTGGTTTAGTGTCCGTCAATGAAAATAAAATGTGAAAACAAGAAAATCCCTCTGTGTAATCCATTTATTTCAACCAAGTAACTGTAATCCAATTACCACTCACTGAAACAGTAACTGTAACTGAATACAGTTACTCATAATTTGTACTCTGATTACCTAACTCCAGTACATGTAATCTGTTACTCCCCAACACTGGACGAGGAAACATTAGAACATAAACGGTTTCATGTGAGTCGTTTAAATGATCATGTTGTGTGTAAAACTGTGTGTTTTTTGTGCCAGTCTGTGTTGTGTGTTGTGTGTTGTGTGTTGTGAGTTGTGTGTTGTGAGTTGTGTGTTGTGTGTTGTGTGTGTGTGTGTTGTGAGTTGTGTGTTGTGTGTTGTGAGTGTGTGTGTTGTGTGTTGTGTGTTGTGAGTTGTGTGTTGTGAGTTGTGTGTGTGTTGTGTGTTGTGAGTTGTGTGTTGTGAGTTGTGTGTTGTGAGTTGTGTTGTGTGTTGTGAGTTGTGTGTTGTGTGTTGTGAGTTGTGTGTTGTGTGTTGTGAGTTTGTGTTGTGAGTGTGTTGTGTGTTGTGAGTTGTGTGTTGTGAGTTGTGTGTTGTGTGTTGTGAGTTGTGTGTTGTGAGTTGTGTGAGTGTGTGTTGTGTGTGTGTTGTGAGTTGTGTGTGTGTGTGTGTTGTGAGTTGTGTGTTGTGTGTTGTGAGTTGTGTGTGTGTGTGTTGTGAGTTGTGTGTGTGAGTTGTGAGTGTTGTGTTGTGTGTTGTGATGTGTGTGTGTTGTGTGTTGTGAGTTGTGAGTTGTGTGTTGTGAGTTGTGTGTTGTGTGTGTGTTGTGAGTTGTGAGTTGTGTGTTGTGAGTTGTGTGTTGTGAGTTGTGAGTTGTGTGTTGTGAGTGTGTGTGTGTTGTGTGTTGTGTGTTGTGAGTTGTGTTGTGTGTTGTGAGTTGTGAGTTGTGTGTTGTGAGTTGTGAGTTGTGTGTTGTGTGTTGTGAGTGTTGTGAGTTGTGTGTTGTGTTGTGAGTGTTGTGAGTGTGTTGTGTTGTGTGTGTGTGTGTGTGTGTGTGTGTTGTGTGTTGTGAGTTGTGTGTGTGTGTGTGTTGTGAGTTGTGTGTTGTGATGTTGTGTGTTGTGTGTTGTGAGTGTGTGTGTGTGTTGTGTGTGTGTGTGTGTGTTGTGTGTGTGAGTGTGTGTGTGTGTTGTGAGTTGTTGTGTTGTGTGTGTGTGTGTGTGTTGTGAGTTGTGTGTTGTGAGTTGTGTGTTGTGTGTTGTGTGTTGTGAGTTGTGTGTGGTGTGTTGTGAGTTGTGTGTTGTGTGTTGTGTGTTGTGTGTTGTGTGTTGTGTTGTTGGTGTTTGAGTGGAGTCGGGTGCATTCTTCAGGCTCGGTTATGTCCGGTGTCTGAACAGCTGAAAGAGCCATGGTATGTCCCACTATAGTGTTCTGTGGAAGAGGGGGAGGAAGAGGGGGAAGAGAGAGAGGGGTGAGCGCGGGGGAAAGAGGAGGAACGAGGGTGTGGGGGAGGGGTGAGAGAGAGAGGGAAGAGGGAAGAGGGCAGGAGTTTCCAGGAAGACACCTCTGGAATGAAGCCAGAAAACAGAGTGATGACAGCTGCTGCGAAAGAAAGAGAGAGATAGAGAGAGAAAGGAAAAGAGAGAGAGGAGAGAAGGCAAGAGAGAGAAAATGGGAGAAGCAAGGGGGGAGAAAGAGGGAGAAAAAGAGTCTGAGAGAGAGATGAGTAGGAAGGAGGCAGAGGGAGAAACAGTGAGACGGGGAGAAGAGAGAAAGAGGGGACAGGACCGAAAGAGACTGGGTGAAAGAGAAAGAACGAGAGGAGGAGGAAAGAGAGAAGGAGGAAAGAGAGAAGGAGGAAAGAGAGAAGGAGGAAAGAGAGAAGGGGAGAACCTCTGGACGTGAGTCAGAAAAAGAAGTGATGACAGCTCTGGTGTGAAAGAGGAAAAGAGAGAGGGAGAGAGGAAGCAGTTTGTGAACGGCCTGTGATCCTAAAAGACTAAAGGATTTTATCCCAACACAACAGTTACATTTACTCGAGTAACTTTTAAAAACTCTACTTCTCTGAGTAGTTTTAAGACAACATACTTTTACTCCTACTTGAGTAAAATATTGTAGAGTGTGGAAATACTCTTACTTGAGTAATATAGTACAGAGTATCAGTACTCTTACCTGAATAATATACTACAATTTAACAGTACTCTTACTTGAGTAATATATAGTACAGTGTAACAGTACTCTTACTTGAGTAATATATAGTACAGTGTAACAGTACTCTTACTTGAGTAATATATAGTACAGTGTAACAGTACTCTTACTTGAGTAATATATAGTACAGGGTATCAGTACTCTTAAGTGAGTAATATAGTACATTGTAACAGTACTCTTACTTGAGTAGTATATAGTACAGTGTATTAGTACTCTTACTTGAGTAATATATAGTACAGAGTATCAGTACTCTTACTTCAGTAATAGTATAAAAAAAAAAATCTGATCAAACTTTGTTTATATAGAACTTTTCACACAAAAATACACATAAAGCGCTTAAAGTAGTACAGAGTATCAGTACAGTTACTTGAGTATTATAAAGTACAGTGTGACAGTAATCTTACTTGAGTAATATATAGTAAAGAGTATCAGTACTGTCACTTCAGTAATAGTACAAAAAAAAAAAATCAGATTGAACTTTATTTATAGAACACTTTTTGTACAAAAATATAACACAAAGCTCCTAATGTAGTACAGAGTAATAGTACTGTTACTTGAGTAAAAGTTCTTCTTCCTCTGTGTGATTGTGTGTGTGTATGTGTGTAAAGTGAGTGTGTGTGTGTATGTGTGTAAAGTGAGTGTGTGTGTGTGTGTGTAAAGTGAGTGAGTGTGTGTGTGTATGAATTAAAGTGTGTGTGTGTTTATTTGGAGCAGGTGTTAAAGCGTGCAGCCTGTGGTGACGGGGCAGAGGCTGAACAGCTGCACTCTCTCACCTCACACACACACACGCACATGCACACACAGGCACACACACACACACACGCACATGCACACACACGCACACACACACACACACACGCACACACACGCACGCAAACGCACACACACACTGCGCTCTTATTAAAGCTAAGTTTAGAAGCACGAGCAGATGTGACAAGGCCAGGCTATTTCTGCACCACACCGCTCATCCTGCCCCTCCTCACACCGCCTCACCCCGCTTCACACCGCCTCACACCGCCTCACACCGCCTCACCCCACTTCACACCGCCTCACACCGCCTCACACCTCCTCACACCGCCTCACACCGCCTCACCACACTTCACCCGCTTCACACCGCCTCACCCCACTTCACACCACCTCTCGCCCCACCCCGCCTCACCCTCCTCACACCGCCTCACCCCGCTTCACACTGCCTCACACCTCCTCACACCTCCTCACCCCGCTTCACACCGCCTCACACCTCCTCACCCGCCCCACCCCGCCTCACACCGCCTCACCCACTTCACACCGCCTCACACCGCCCCACCCCGCTTCACACCTCCTCACACCGCCTCACCCCCGCCCCACCCCGCCCCCACTTCACACCGCCTCACCCCACTTCACAGCGCCTCACACCGCCCCACCCCGCCTCACCCCTCCTCACACACTCACCGCCTCACCCCGCCCCACCCCGCCTCACACCGCCTCACACCGCCTCACACCACCTCACCCCGCCTCACACCTCCTCACACCGCCCCACCCCGCTTCACACCGCCTCACCCCGCCTTCACCCCCTCACCCGCCTTCACCCGCTTCACACCGCCTCACCCCTCCTCACACCGCTTCACACCGCCTTACACCGCCTCACACCTCCCAGGTTGGGGGTTAGACTCCTCATGTCTCTCTGTTTGTCATGTCACAGTTTTATACAGCACTTGTCCACTTCCCCATTTACACACAAATGCACACAAACACTGGCGACGAGGAGGGCTAAGTGTCTTGCCTAAGGACACAAAAGACTCCCAATTTCTCTGTGTTAATGTCTGGAGGTTGTGGGTTAGACTCCTGATGTCTCTGTGTTTGTGGTTGAAGGTTGCGGCTCCTGATCTCAGTGTGTCAGTGTTTGGAGGTTGTGGGTTAGACTCCTCATGTCTCTCTGTTTGTCATGTCACAGTTTTATACAGCGTTTGTCCACTTCCCCATTCACACACAAACACTGACGACGAAGAGGGCTAAGTGTCTTGCCTAAGGACACAACAGACTCCTGTTAGGATTTGGAAGTTGTGGGTTAGACTCCATGGCCATGGAGGAGGACTATTGGACGGCCTAAAGGAAATTCTGGCAAACCGTCCGGCACCTCAGGAGGGGGAAGCAGTTCTTCACCAACACTGTTTACAGTGTGGGGGGAGAGCTGCTGACCTCAACTGGGGACGTTGTCCGAGGAGGAAGCCGAGGCTGGGGACTCGGAGGCGGACTCATCCATCACCCTGGCTGAAGTCACTGAGGTGGTTGGAAAGCTCCTTGGTGGCAAGGCTCCGGGGTTGGATGAGATCCGTCCTGAGTACCTTAAGTCTCTGGATGTTGTGGGGCTGTCTTGGCTGACACGCCTCTGCAACATCGCGTGGCGGTCGGGGACAGTACCTCTGGACTGGCAAACCGGGGTGGTGGTCCCTCTGTATAAGAAGGGGGACCGGAGGGTGTGTTCCAACTATAGGGGAATCACACTCCTCAGCCTTCCTGGTAAGGTCTATGCCAGGGTACTGGAGAGGAGAATCCGGCCGATAGTCGAACCTCGGATCCAGGAGGAGCAATGTGGTTTTCGCCCTGGTCGTGGAACACTGGACCAGCTCTACACTCTCCATAGGGTGCTCGAGGGTTCATGGGAGTTTTCCCAACCAGTCCACATGTGCTTTGTGGACTTGGAGAAGGCATTCGACCGTGTCCCTCGTGGTGTCCTGTGGGGGGTGCTCTGGGAGTATGGGGTTCGGGGCCCTTTGCTAAGGGCTGTCCGGTCCCTGTATGACCGGAGCAGGAGCTGTGTTCATTGCCGGCAGTAAGTCAGACCTGTTCCCGGTGCATGTTGGACTCCGCCAGGGCTGCCCTTTGTCACCGGTTCTGTTCATTGTGTTTATGGACAGAATTTCTAGGCGCAGTCAGGGGCCGGAGGGGGTCCGGTTTGGGGACCACAGGATTTCATCTCTGCTGTTTGCAGACGATGTTGTCCTGTTGGCTTCATTGAACCAGGACCTGCAATGTGCACTGGGGCGGTTTGCAGCCGAGTGTGAAGCGGCTGGGATGAAGATCAGCTCCTCCAAATCCGAGGCCATGGTTCTCGACCGGAAAAAGGTGTCTTGTCCTCTTCGGGTGGGTGGAGAGTCCCTGCCTCAAGTGGAGGAGTTCAAGTATCTCGGGGTCTTGTTCACGAGTGAGGGGAGGACGGAGCGTGAGATTGACAGGTGGATCGGTGCAGCATCGGCAGTGATGCGGTCGCTGTATCGGACTGTTGTGGCGAAGAGGGAGCTGAGCCGAAAGGCAAAGCTCTCGATTTTACCAGTCAGTCTTCGTTCCTACTCTCACCTATGGTCATCACCTATGGTCATGAGCTCTGGGTAATGACCGAAAGGATGAGATACATGCGCTTGAAATGAGTTTCCTCCACAGGGTGGCTGGGCGCTCCCTTAGAGATAGGGTGAGGAGCTCAGTCACACGGGAGGAGCTCGCAGTAGAGCTGCTGCTCCTCCACGTTGAGAGGAGCCAGTTGAGGTGGTTTGGGCATCTGTTCCGGATGCCTCCTGGGCGCCTCCCTCGGGAGGTGTTTATGTCCCCCCGGGAGGAGACACTGGGGAAGACCCAGGACACGCTGGAGGGACTATGTCTCTCGTCTGGCCTGGGAACACCTCGGGGTCCCCCTGGAGAAGCTGGAGGAGGTGTGCGTGGAAAGGGAAGTCTGGGAGTCCCTGCTTAGACTGCTGCCCCCGCGCCCCGGCCCCGGATAAGTGGAAGAAAATGGAATGGAATGGGTTAGACTCCTGATGTCTCTGTGTTCGTAGTTGAAGACTGCGGCTCCTGATCTCCGTGTGTCAGTGTTTGGAGGTTGTGGGTTAGACTCCTCATCTCTCTGTTTGTCATGTAACAGTTTTATACAGAGATTGTCCACTTCCCCAAAGAGGGCTAAGTGTCTTGCCTAAGGACACAACAGACTCCCAATTTCTTTGTGTTAGTGTTTGGAGGTTGTGGGTTAGACTCCTCACCTCTCTGTGTTAGTGATTAGAGGTTGTGGGTTAGATTCCCCCTGGAGCCGGTTGGTCTCGGTTTTATCAGCGGAGGAAGCGTCTCTCTCTCTTCCTCTCTTTGTGTTGCTCATTAGTGTAAATAGTTTGGGTTTTTGACACATTCCTCCAGGAGCTGTCACTGACTCCTGTCGAGAGCAGCTCCGACCGTTTTCCTGTGACGCTCACGGCAAATTCCAGTGAAACTCTGACCCGCGCGGCCGTGGCCACACTACCAGACTTTACAAAGAGAGGCTCCGGAATGTGTCCTGTGTCCATGATTTAAGAGTGATTGAGAGGAGGATTAACCAATCAGAGAGAAGCATGGAACATTTCAACAAAACAAACATGCAGGTCCCTCAGCTCTATGTTCCCTTACTTCTGCGATTTTTCTTATTTCTACGATTTTTCTTATTTCTAATTTTTTTTTTTTTTCTCAAAATTAAACCCAAAATAATTGTTTAACAGTTTAGTCCTGGTTCAGACCTCACTTAGTCCTGGTTTTAGTCCAGGTTTAGTCCTGGTTTAGACCTGGCTTAGTCCTGGTTCAGTCCTGGTTTGGTCCTGGTTTAGTCCTGGTTTAGTCCTGGTTTAGTCCTGGTTTAGACCTGGTTCAGTCCTGGTTTAGTCCTGGTTTAGACCTGGTTAAGTCCTGGTTTAGACCTGGTTCAGTCCTGGTTTAGTCCTGGTTCAGTCCTGGTTCAGTCCTGGTTCAGTCCTGGTTTAGACCTGGTTCAGTCCTGATTTAGACCTGGTTCAGTCCTGGTTTAGACCTGGTTTAGTCCTGGTTCAGTCCTGGTTTAGACCTGGTTTAGACCTGATTTAGTTCTGGTTTAGTCCTGGTTTAGACCTGGTTTAGACCTGGTTTAGACCTGGTTTAGACCTGGTTTAGTCCTGGTTTAGACTTGGTTTAGTCCTGCTTCAGTCCTGGTTCTGGCATCTCGATGGAAGTTTCTTCTGCCTGTGAAGTGTTGATGTACTTTTGACAGTCGAGTTGCGTCTGTGAATTTGTACTTGTACTGAAAAAGCGCAATTGTACATTTTCATTTTGTGATTGTAATTCTTGATGTCATAACTTCAGTTTGTATTCTGATGGATAAGGCGCTGAAACATGCTGTCTGGAGAAGGAACCCTTTAAACCTGAGACAGAACAGTTTACTCACGAGAAATGGGTCAAAATACCTGTTGACCAGAGTTTGCCTCATAAGGTTGTGCAACAAAATATAAAGTTAAGGTACCATCATTTTTGTCCAGGCCAGTTTCATTATTTTGTTTTTTTCTAATTATTCTGTTTAACCACTGGTGAAAAGCAATGTTTGATTTTTGTTGGACAATTTTCAGTACATTTTTATTTATTATTGCTTTTCTCAGTTTCAAGTTATTTCAGTGATGATTGTTGATTTTTCTTTCATTGCCAGAGGGAACCAACAATTTTGTCCATGACTGTATATTTGGTTAAACCCTTATCATCAGAAAGCCCCCTAGTCAGAAAGCCCACTAGTCAGAAAGCCCCCTAGTCAGAAAGCCCACTAGTCAGAAAGCCCACTAGTCAGAAGGTCCAGTAGTGAGAAGACCCACTAGTCAGAAAATCCTTCCCTCTTCTATTGGTTTGTCAGCAACATTTCTCTTGAACAATTGAATGTATATTTGATGAAAGCAACAGGGAATAATCCCTGGATATCAGGGAAGAATGAGTAAACTTTTGGATGTTTACCAATTAAAAATGGCTGCAACATCAACATTTTTAGAGATATTGACAAGAAAACACATAATCATGCATAACAGCATTAGCTAAGACCAACATTACTTCATTTGTTGGTTTACAAACCCACCAATGCTTTATTAAAAGACAAAGATTTAAAATAAAATTGAATGAAGGTTGTAGAGCTCGAATTACTGAACATTTTGCAAGTTGTTGCCTGAAAATCAGACAATGATTAACCCTGTTACACTAAAGACAGACATTTCCACCCAAATCATTATTTCCTCAAACATTTTTGCTGTACTTTAAGGGTTTGATATATTTATTACTTTAAATATTTACTTTTTAAAATATTTAAAACTTGAAATACAATTTCATTTGTAACAGTTTGTAACACGACCTGAACATGGATTTTCTGACTAGAGGCTCTTCTGATGATAAGACTGACCCCGTATATTTTCCACTCACGAATTTCCCAAAATACAAACAGATTTCTATCCTATGCACACGACTGTTTCTGAAAGCTTTTTTACTCCATAAAAATCCTTCAGTTGTCTTAAAAACTTCTTTAACTTTAGCTTCAGCTCGCTCTGATTGGTTGAGAGGTCACGTGCTACGCCCGTGTGCCTTCACTTGTGTTTGTGTGGGAAAATCGAGGAATTGTTTATCTTAAAAACGTCCTTCTGTCACAGTTTGATAAGAGAACACATGTGGGCGCATCCCTTTAAATCTACCACTTTCTGCATTTGTCGCGGAGCCCGTGTCCGTGTTTGTGCTCATTTAAACCAGATTCAACTCTGACCGATAAGAACGCGTTTGAAATTCAAAGCAGAAGCCCGACGTTACATCTGCACATGCTGATTACTCCGCACATCGCTCCGAGGGACAGGACCAGATCTGAACCAGGATCTGGGACAGGACTCGGGGCTGTAGTCCGGCTCTGGTCTTGTCTCTGGTCTGTGTGATTCAGAAGGACTCGGGGCAGAGCAGATGTTTTTCACCACAAACTCTTCTGTAAACAGTGTTGGGAAGTTTACTTTTAAAATGTATTCCCCTACAGATTACAGATTACATCCCCCAAAATGTAGTTTGTAACGTAATCCATTAAGTTACTTAAAGTGAGTAATGTAATCTGAATACTTTGGATTACTTGATTTGCTGTAGAGAAACAAAGACGAGGAAACTTAACCGTATTAAAAATATTATTGATAGAAGAGGAGGAGACACGTCCACGCAGCATGATTTGATTTAATGATGATCTGTTAAATCCTGGTTTAGTCTTGGTTTAGATCTAGTTAGTCCTGGTTTTAGTCCTGGTTTAGACCTGGTTTACATCTAGTTTAGACCTGGTTTTAGTCCTGGTTTATTCCTGGTTTAGACCTGGTTTAGATCTAGTTTAGTCCTGGTTTAGACCTATTTTTAGTCCTGGTTTTAGTCCTGGTTTAGACCTGGTTTAGACCAAGTTTTAGTCCTGGTTTAGACCAGGTTTATATCTAGTTTAGTCCTGGTTTTAGTCCTGGTTTAGTCCTGGTTTTAGTCCTCATTTAGACCTGGTTTAAATCTAGTTTAGACCTGGTTTTAGTCCTGGTTTACTTTCCAGCAATGAGTGGAATTACCGAAAAAAATAAATAAATAAAAATGTGAAAACAGGAAAATACCGCCGTGTAATCCATTTATTTCAACAAAGTAACTGTAACTGAATACAGTAACTCATAATTTGTACTCTGATTACATAACTCCAGTACATGTAATCTGTTACTCCCCAACACTGTCTGTAAATAACCTCGGAGAAAAGCATCTTGAAACGTCTGAAGGTTTTGTTTAAAGAGCACGGTCCGTGTGTGGTTTTGTGCATCGCTGAGTACAGTTACGCGAGCAGACAGAGTAATCAGATAACGCAGTAATCGGATAACTCCTTAATGAGATCTGATAAGGGGTGTGTGTTTACAGCGCGGGAGAAATCGGAGCTTCACAAACACCTGGTGACACGTGTGAGTCAGAGGATTTTCAGAGTAAAAGTTGTACTTGGAAGACAAAGTACAGTGAAGTTTTAAAATAACTCTTTCAGTCTTTCACATGTTTAGCTTTCATTTTTCTCTTAGGCACACAGTCTTTTCTGCGTCAGAGTATAAGGTAGAGGTCTGCGCGGGACAGAATTTTGAGTCCCGCTCCCGCACTGTAGAGTCCCGCGCCTGCCCTCTCCCGCAAAGAATTGTAATTTTCAGTCCCGCTCCCGCCCGCATCTGCAATATTTTGTCCCGCGCCCGCCCACAAATCCCGCAGGATGGGAACCTTTGCTTTCTTAAACTCTATCAAACACGGAGAAGCGAAAGAAATTGGGCTGGGTATGAGAGGAGGCGCGGTGGGCGGTCCGGCGGCATGGTTAAGTCCTGGCTGAATCCTGTTTTAGTCCTGGTTTTAGAGCTGTTTTTAGACCTGGTTTAGTTCTGGTTGAGTTCTGGTTTTGTTGCGCAGGCAGCATGACGTACGGAAGGGGGGACTGTCCGCGCGGCGTAAGGGACGTGGCGGGACTGTCCCGCGGCATACTTGGAAGGAAGGACTGTTCATGTGGTGTATGGGAAAGGGGACGGTCTGCTGCTTAAAATGTTTTTATTAATGCCAAATAAAATCTCCAGCACAAATGATGCATGATATGTTTACATTCATCATTTGTATATTTTACTTTATACTCATATTTAGTTTGTGGGACTGCAGTTTATCATCCCTCCCGCCCGCTCCCGCGTTGTTTAGCCCCACTCCTGCCCACAGTGAGCTTTCAAAATGTGTTCCGCATCGCAGTGGTTTGTGTCGGGTCCCGCAGGTCCCGCAGGACTGCAGGGCTCTAGTAGAAGGCTCAGATAAAAAAAAATAAATAAAAATGATGCTGGCGCTACGAGAATAAAGTCGTAATATTTTAACATTAAAATCATAATATTACGAGAATAAAGTCATAATTTTACAGGAATAAAGTCGCAATTTTACGAGAATGATGTCATAATTTTACAAGAATAAAGTCTAAGTCTAAATAAAGTCGTAATATTATGAGAATAAAGTTAATATTACGAGAATGAAGTCGTAATAAACTCAAAGTCAAAGTGAAAAATGCCGCAGAAGAAGAACCTCCATGTATCATTCGTTCATTAGTTTTTCAATATAAAACCAAAAATAAGAAAACGAAAAAACAACTATTTTCTTCATTTGTGCCTCCAGACCGAACCAGGACTAATCCAGGACTAATCCAGGTCCGGGACCAGACAGGGACTGAGACCAGGACTTAGACTGGGACAAGACAAGGACTGAGTTTGGGACCAGACCAGGACCAGGCCGTGATACTGGGACCAGACTGGGACTGAGACCAGACCAGGACTGAAAACGGTTTAGTCCTGGTTCAGTCCTGGCAGTCCGTATGCAGCGTAGGAGTCCAGCATCACATTTTAAGTCACAGAAACGCTGCTTCCCATTTCCGTGACTTAAACCAGGACTAAATCAGGACTAAACCATT